GGACAGGGGGGAGCGGGGCGGCCGAGGGCTCGCGGGCCGGGAGCGGGGTCCAGGTGTGACGGTGGAGGGCAGCGGCCAGCGACCCGGACTCCGCGTCCTGCGCAGTGTGGGCCGAGGAGTGGCAGGAGACCTGTACCTGTGGCCCCAATCCTGCCAGAGCCAGGGCGCGGCCGGGCTGCGGCGGGAACGGCCCCAAACAAACTGGCTCCCATTTCGCGCCAGGCTTGGAGCGGGGCCGGGATCCCGCAGGGGCTGCGTCGGGCAGGACTCAGCACCCCCATTTTACAGTTGGGAAAACTGAGGCTCTGGAAGAGGCAGTGGACTCCCCCAAGGTCGTCAGATTCAAAGCCAGGGTTCTTAGCCACTTCCTGCCTGGGGCAGAAGGGCAGCCTGTGAATGGGGCCTGTAGCTGTTGCGTCCATGGAGTTCTCTCCCCTTCCTTCATTCGGTTGGCCCCCCAGGTCACCCTCATTTTGAAGTTTAAAGAAAACTAGAAGGGTTTCAGGTCCCCTGGTCTGCTTGCAGTAGCCCGGGCCTCCAGAGGGCCTCAGTTCGCCCTTGCCCAGGTGCCGACCCCACACACCTCCCTTAGCTGGAACCAGGCTCCTCAAGGTGCTGCCTGGGACTGTGGCAGGCCAAGGGGTGCAGGTGACGAGGTGGAACCCAGAGCCAGGAAGAGGGTGCTCCCGAGGCACACCCCGCCCTCTAAGCCTGTTTCCTGCTGTAGTCCCTGTTGGGCCAGGGGCCCTCTTGCTTGGAAGTCACAGAGTAGCTGTCCGTGGGCCTCCTTGCAGTGGGGTGCTTGGAACACCTCGGTCCTACCCCCCCACCTGCCCTCGTCCCAGTGTGAGGATAAAGGGTCCCTGTGTGGTGAGTGAAAGAAGTGTAAAGTGGGGGCACCCTGGCTCCTGCCCAACCAACCTCCCCAGGCAGTCGACCCTCGGGCAGGTCACTCACCCGTCCGAGCCCCAGTCTCCATCTGGGAGGTGAGACACCACGAGCTTCAACTGGTGCCCAGCACACAGCAGCCACTGGGGTATCACGTCCCCTCCATCTGGGCCACCCTGGCTGCTGTTAGCCTCCTGAGGGGCAGCTGGTGTTTTTCCATGACCCTCCTGAGTGTGCTGGGCAGAGCTGAGTCCCACCAGGTGAGACACAGACCTGCAGGCAAGGTTTCCCAGGGAAGCCTGCTGCCATGGGCAGGGGTGGGGGGACACATGCTGGGACAGGCCCTCAGCAGAGTGAGGGGCCTTCCACCGGGCAGGCCTGGGACCCCAGTGCTTTGCCCTCAGTGGTTCCTTCGGGAAGTTTAGGGAGTGTCATCACAATAAACGTCCACTCGTTTGTCCACACACACTTCCAGCTGCAGAACAACTCTGCAGATGTTCCTCCGACCCTCCCATGGGGGGACTGTAGTCACCCCGTTTCCCAGCTGGGGAAAGGCCACGCTGGGCTGGAGGCAGGCCCTCTTCCCCTCGGCCTGTCACTGTTCCTCTCTCTCCAGTAAGGTTTGGTGTGGGCTGCAGCCCTCCAACCCCCTCCCCATCTGTAAGCTGGAGGTGGGGGTAGTAGCCTCCCTGTCCTCACTCGCCGCTCTGCCTCCACCCCACACAGCCCTCCCTGCTCCTGGGCCTTCCTGCCTCCAGCCTTTGCTCTTGCCGGGCCCTATGCCTGGAGTCCCCCACTCGCTAATGTCTAGACCCCTTTGTCAGGGCTCTCCTCCGATCGGGTCCCCTCGTCTGCTGACGCTGTGGTGGCCCGGCTCGGCTGTCAGCTCTCTGGGCAAGATCGTCTGTGGTTCATCCTCACACTGGTGTCCGAGTAGAAAACCAGCTACCATACCTTTTTATCTCCTCCACAAACGGGAGCATACCCCGTCAAGGTCTTGACACCACAGTCCGCCCCCAGGCCGGCCGGGGTGTGTACTTCCTGCAGGCCAGTGCTTGCTCCAAACCTTCCCACATGGTGCCCTGGCACAGCATCACTCACTCCTGGGCTCTCCAGCACAGAACGGCCACCTTTAATAGGGGCTCGAGACAGCTTGGACTGAGGACCTGGCCTTCCTTGAGTCCCCTCTGAGCCAGAGCTTGACACGTGTGGTCCATTTTGTCCCCTGTCCTGGAAGGGGGTGGCCCCCTCGCACGAGTCCCAGAGAAGTGTGACGACACTGCGTGTTCCACGGAGCACCTGCTGTGCCCAGGCCCTGTGTGGAGCTCGTGTGCGTCACTCGTTTAATCCGACAGCCCCCAAGGGCAGTCCTGTTAGTCCCACTAAGATGAGGATACAGGCAGACTGGCTAAGTAACTTGTTCAAGGTCACATACGGAGACAGTGGCAAAGCCAAGATGTGAACATCCACAGCCTGGCCCTGGAGTCTCCCAAGGCCCATTGCCTGCCTTGAGCATGGTGCGTGGGTATGGCTGACCCAGGACTCCAGGAGAGGCTAGCTCTGCTCTCCTGCTGCCTGTGGCTCCACACCTTCTGAGAACCCAGGATCTGACCTAGCCCCTCAGGCTTTCCTCCTGGGGGGCTTCCCTAGCATCAGATTGTTTCTGGTGAGGGCAAAGGGGCACGCTTCCACTCACCCCAGTGAGAGAGCCACCCGTCTGCGTCGGGCCCGACTAGAAGTCTTCAGCACCCACGTGCAGCCTGCCCCCTAAGCGTGGTGTCCATGGGGCCGGGGCGTTGGTGAGAGCACAGGTGAAGAGAGGTGGAGGAAGCCCCCATTCAGGCCGGTATCTAGGAGCCTCCGTTCCCCACCTGTAAGAAGGGCTAGGTCGGCTGCAGTACACAGGTCTCAGTCCTCCAAAAGAGGCACATTGAGGCCTGGGTGGCTCTGCTGTGGCAGGGCAGTTAGGGTGGGGTCTCCTGCCACACCCCTGCTGACCCGTGCCGGACCCCCAGGTCTTCGACGCCGGGAACATGTTCGGGATAATGCAGGTGGAGGAGGCGGAGGACGAGAGTCAGGACGAGGCAGCCCGCGAAGCCCGGCGGAAGCAGCCCAACCCGGGCGGTGAGCTGTGCTACAAGGTCATCGTGACCAACGAGCGAGGTCTGCAGGTGGCTGACCCCAACAGGTAGGTGCTCACGCTCAGGCTCACTTCCTCCCAGGGGTGCCCAGGTCTGCTGCTGCGGAGAAGTAACAATAGACGCCTGCATGCCGCGGTCACCAGGACGGCTCATGGCGTGCGCGTGGCTGACCGTGTTCCTGCCGGGTTGGGGAGCCTCTGTGCTGACACCATGGTCCCCTGCGGGTACTGGGTTCCAATTAGGCTGAGGAAACGGACATGGGAGGGACCAGCCTGAGGTCTCCCGGTAGCTGAGGGTACAGTGAGAACCAGCTCAGCCTTATTCCCCTCATCCCTTTTATCATTTTTTTTTAAAGAAAGATTTTTTTGCTATAGGGCTTGTGCACTTGCTAATTAGACAGAAAGCAAGAAATCACCCACACACACACACACCCCCAGTCCCTTCTCTTCCATTCTCTCAGGATTTGGGGCAGATATACACACGTGCATGGCTGAGTTTTAAGATACAGGGGCCGGGCTCAAAAGCACAGCCATGTAACCTTTGCGCCATCTGCTGGTCCCTCCCCATTCCTTTTCCAAGGACTGCTGGGCTTCTCCCCAGACCCACTGAGTCCGATTCTCCTGCTGGGGCCCAGGGAGGCTGAGAACCTGAGTCCTGCAGCAGAGCTAGGACTGGACCCTGAGAGGGGCTCCCTCGGCCGGGACCATGTCTGGACCCCTCTGCCGGAGGCTGGGGAGCCTTGTGAGAGGAAATGGCAGCCCCCCCCCTAGGGTGGGAGGACGGCCTCGCCTCAGGTCTCCAGTGGGCACAGCTCATCCTCCACAGCTCTGCCGCAATGTGTCCCCCTGGGCTCACAGGGAAACCAGAGTGTGGGCTGCAGGTATCCACATGCGGGACCTCGAGCGTCCACAGAAAGGCCTTCCAGTAGCCCAGGTGTGCATGAGCAAGCCCCGCGTGGCAGGTCCTTGGTGTGTCCCCTGCCCCTAGCCGTCCAGGCTGGGGAGCCCGGCCTGTCCTTCAGGGGCTCCAGATCCAGCTGAGGGGCAAGCCCAGTGCTATGCGCTGTGTGGAGGGAGCTGGACCCCATGGCCATTGTGATTCAAATCCCATCTCTGGTGGCTTGAAAATTGCCGGACACGGGACCAGCAGTTAACATAATGGCTATGTTGCTGGACTCCCATGTAGTCGACCGTTGTTCGAGTCCCGGACCTAGTGGCTTAAACTCATGCTGGGCACGTGTGTGTGCATGCCCAAGATCCTGAGAGGAGAATGGAGGGGCAGGGATCGGGGCTGGGCCATCCTCCCTGGGGAGTGTTTTCTCACTTTCTGTCTCTGTCTTTCTGGCAATCACATGCACCCTATAGCAAAAACCCCTCCAAAAATAAAGAACTTTGCTGGGCACATGTGCATGCATGCCCAGAATCCCAGGGGTTGAAAGAGCGGGGGAGGAGTGACTACACCCCTAGGGGTTGCTTTCTCTCCCTCTCCCTGTGCATGCATACACCCTCTCTGACGCGAAGTGAATCTCCCTAAAGACGCTTGTGTTAGCGATCCCCGTTGTTTACCGCAAGGACTCCGTGTGGTCAGCAGGCCGTATAGCAGTCTGATGCTCGCTGATCCTGGTGGCAGAAGAACGGACCCCTGCTGCTGTTTTAGGAACTTGAAGAAAGAACTTGCTGAGGGCTTCAGTGAGCTGGGGACAGCCAGGGTCTTGGCCAGGCCCATTGGACTGCAAAACTGGCACCACAGAATCCGAGTCTCGGGAGAGTGGATGCTAGGCCCTGCCCTGGCCCCAGGCTTCTCCCTGTCCCGGGTCCTCTGCCGCCCCGTGCCCTCATGCCCTGACGCCAGCAGCCTGACGTGGCCTGTGCCCACAGCATCTTTCTCATCGACCACGCCTGGACGTGCCGCGTGGAGCATGCCCGCCAGCAGCTTCGCCAGGTGCCAGGGCTGCTGCACCGCATGGCCAACCTGATGGGAATCGAGTTCCACGGCGAGCTGCCTAGTGACGAGGCCGTGGGCCTGGTGCTCGAGGAGATGTGGAAGTTCAACCAGACCTACCAGCTGGCCCACGGGGTGAGTGGCAGCCGGGGGACTCACAGGGACACTGGCCTTTACCGCCCCCACCACCAGGGTTGGTCGGGGCTGGCTGAAGGGCAAAGTCGTTTTCTCCCGTGGCAACCCCCCAGTCACTGCTTTGTCAGGAGTGTGTTGCTGCTCCGTTAGGGTGGCCACTGCTGGGGACCCAGGAGCCCCTGGCCTCTACCCTCATAGCACATGGCCCTCTCCGAGACCCCTAGCCTTGAACCCAGATCCTCTGCCACCTTTCTGTAGGCCCCTTCCAATTCTGTTACCCCCTTAAAGGCACCCAGTGGCTCCTCGCCACCCTGGGGAGAAGAGCCCTCAGCATGGCCTCTGGCCTTCGCCCCGCCCCTGGTGGCCTCTGCAGACATCCTCCACTCCAGGCCCTCACTCTTAGTTCAGGAAGAAACACGCCCCGATTCCTCGAGACCACCTCCTCCAAGGAGCCTTCTTTGACCTTGGTCTCCTCTCCTCCTCGCCACGCACACAGACCCGTGCGCGTCTGTGTGGCTCTTGGCGTGGTGCCCGTTTCACGCGGTGTCATGCAGGCCTGTGTCCTGGTCTCCCAGAGCAGGGCCGCTGTCCGGGAGGCCTGGCTTAGCCGAAGGGGCTGAGGGTGCATGTGAGAAACCAGCTCAGAGCTGCGCTGGGCGGAGGGTGGGCAGGGACGAGGGTGCCTATGCCCTGTTGCAGACAGCTGAGGACAAGGTGCCAGTGTGGTACATCATGGACGAGTTCGGCTCTCGGATCCAGCACGCGGACGAGCCCAGCTTCGCCACCGCACCCTTCTTCTACACCCCCCAGCAGGTGGCCTACACGCTGCTGTGGCCCCTCAGGGACCTGGACACGGGCGGTGAGTCGGACCCTCCCCGAGGATGGGCCTGAGCCTATATCTACGCACCTAATGCGCACTCCTGTCCTGGCACAGAGGAGGTGACCCGGGACTTTGCCTACGGAGAGCCTGACCCCCTGATCCGGAAGTGCATGCTATTGCCCTGGGCGCCCTCCGACCTGCAGGACCTGAGCTCCTCCACGCCTGAGCCTCCCGCCCAGCACTACCAGGTGCGACCCTGCGCCGCCCAGGCCTGCTGCTCGGTGGCGCTGGTCACTGTCTAGGCACTAGAGAGGTGATTCCCGCCCGCAGGGGTCCATGGCAGGCCGTCGTGTCGCTGTCAGTGTTGGTAACGAGGCAGCGGCCAGGTCGGCAGCAGGCTCAGTGAGGGCCGCAGGAAGAAGCGGACCTGTGAAATGTAGCCACCGCCAACACCCGGCAGGGCTGGGCAGGGAGTGTGGACCCCACCCCACCCTCCCCTGCTGGCTGCTCTCCGAGTACGTCATGGGCACGTGCACCTGTGTTCCCACAGCTTGATGGTTCTCTGTTTAAGCTTCAGTTTACTGAGGATGTGGAAACTGACGCACGGAGGTTGTCACTTACCAAAGGTCATGGAGCTGGGGGGACAGCTGGAGTCCAGGGGGACCCCATGGTCTGTGGCTGCGGAGTCACCCCCCTATCAGGCTCTCACAGGGTGCATCAGGCTGGGATGAACTGAGCAGGCCAACTCAAGTCGGAGGGGAAGTGCAATGTGTCCGTGACCTCTGCAAGCGTGGTGCGGTGGGCGCATGGCTGTTATGGTGGCCCACTGGCACGTCTGTTGGAGGGGTTGAACTAAGCAAGCCAAAAGCTGGGCAGTGCTCTTGGTTCAGAGGTGTGTGCAGGGTCGCCTCGGGTGGTGCTCCGTGAACGTCACTGAAGTGGACGCTCAGCAAGTCAAGGGCCACGTGGTCACAAGGGTCTGACGGTGAGGCCCAGCCTCCCGGTCTCGAGGTTGTTTGCCAGTAGAGCATGAGTTCAGGTTGCTGTTTTTCCTTGGGAAGCTCTGTGGCTGCCAGGAAGAGGGGGAGGTAAGAGGCACCCTGTCCGCAACATCTGAGTGTTTTTTCCCACCAGTCCCACTGGGATCAGGCCTGCACTCTAGGCCCTGGGGTTCCTGTGTCGGTTAGCTCAGGCTGGCTAGGAAATGACCTAAAGCTTTGCTACTTAAATCCGCAAACATTTGTCACCCCACACGGCTTCCCAGGCACGAGTGCAGCCATACCCCTCCAGGTGTCCAGGCCACCACCGGGCTGCACTGCCTGTGGGCGCTGGGCAGGCCTGCCTTTTCCCAGCGCACACACATGCCCGACCAGTCAGTGCTGGTGACTGGCAGTGGGCATGACTCCTCGGCGTCAGCCTCCCCCCAGGTACCGAGTGTCCTCACACCGCAGCTGACACCTTCCGGAGCGGGGGGGGGGGGGGGGGTGAGGGCCCCGGGAGGTCT